ATGATTCTTAGAAACACTTTGGAATTATCCATAGATGGAACAACTTATCTTGACTGAGATCTGGGAGCAGGGTTAGGAGGCAAAGAGCTCAAACAAGGATGATGTAGGGGTCAGGGAATGTTAAAGGGAGATACCAGGGAAAACAATGTAAGCAGAACATGAATAATGTCAGAAAATCAGCTTACGACTTGATTATGTGCACTAGCAGTGGAAAAATATGCTAATCAAATATTTAAGTTATTTGGCCTGATTGATTAAAATGAAATGCAATTCAACTTTCCCCATGACCTAGAAGTGGCATGCTTGCATTATTACTGTTGAGAAATGCCTATATTGACATTTTTGTCTTGTGTTTGCTTAGCTGTGTCCTTTAATCCCATATGTTCAAATGTAAAACAAAGCTTTAAGTAAACCAGTTCTTACTGTCTTCTGCTTTAGCTGTTTCCTTACTTGCTCATATAGAGGCTTTCTATTAAGATGCTAAAGGAACTCATTCAGGCAGCAGCATAAGTTGTATTAGTAGGCATTATTTCAACTCATTGTTTTTGTGGTATCTGCAGTCTTGTATAAAAGCATGGTCCACTGGTTTTTGGCAGTTATCTGTATGCATACTAGTTTGTCCAACAGATTGTAGATTAGAAGACCCAACAGACACTTAGAGGTGATCAAAATGATGGAAGTGCAAGGCAGCAGCTCTGAAACCTTTTCTGTAGCAAATGACTGAGCACAGATGGGTATGGGGTATGTGTTTTGTAGCTAAGGGATATAAGGAAATAGCCTGGCTATGGAGCAGTTCAAACAGATTGTAGTGGAGGAGGTAACATAGCTTGAGGTCCTGCTTTCAAAAGGACTAGGGAGTAGGCAATAGGATTGTCTTCCATTGGAAGTGAAACTTCTCTTAGTAATAGATCAGGGGTTGCTTGCTTTCTTTTTTTGTAATGACCTTACTAAATTCCTCCATGTGGTGTTTGGCTGAAACCCAGGCTTTTTGTTTTCACCTGTTCCAGTACTAAAAGCTTTTCAGCATCAGGTGATAAATAGTCCTGCTATGAGAACAAGAGGCTTTGATTAAGGGCTGTCCTTTGCTCTGAAATTGAACATGTACTCATGTTCTTGGGGGCTTGGATTCTTTCATTTATACTGTGACACAAAGCAAAATTATTCTGTAAATTTTCATGGCTAAGTGTGTCTAAAATTGTGTTCTAGTTAGTTTAAAGCTAGTAAACAGCAGTATAGTGTAGTGTCACAATAAGATTGTGGATGACAGATTTGTCCTTTGCTATAGGTGACAAGTAGAAGGCAACAGTAAGTGTATAGCTCCTGCTGCAATGTTTTTCTAGCCTATCTTAGGCTTTATGTGGGGAGAAAGGAAAGGAAGTAATTATTCTTTCCCTTACCCAGATTCCAAAAGGTACCCAACTGGAGGCATGCTTTTAATTTAAGTCAGGTTGATACCATTGGATAAGAGACTCAGTAGGACTGTGGAAGTTGCAAGCTCAACTGCTAGTCTGAGTGTTGGTATCCTCTTAATCCTTGGCCAAGTGGTGGTTAATAAACTAGAAATGATGTCGATTGTAATCATTGAGGCAGGAAGAAAAATCTAGATAAGAACATAGAGATCTCTTCTGTGAAACGCTGATGTCAACTGATGCTCTGAAGTTGTGTAATTGTAGGTTGATGTTAATCGTACATCATTTATGGTTCAGTAGTCTTAATAGCACTGTGGAAATACAGGGTTAACTAAGGTAGAATGAAGGTCTTTAATATTAGACTTTTCAATCTCATATTTAATGGGACTGGAGTTAAGGTTAAAATGGGAAAACGAGTGCTTTTTCAACCACTTACCTACTAAGTGTTATGCATCGCTTCAGAAGACAGACTTATTCTAGAGGAGATGTGGATACCTGTGTACCAGCCATAGTTGACAATGAAGGGAACTAATTGAAGCTTAAGACTTTTGGTCTTAATTGTCTTTAAACATCTCTTTCCTGTACAGCTAATAACTAGTGGGAGTTTGCTATGGAGAGGTAAAAATCTTAGTACACTTAAATATGTGGAAATGGGCAATTTTAATTACCTTGATATTGGTCTAAATCTATACCTAATAAGGCCTACATAATTTGAGTTGTTTTATAAGCAATGCTCTAATACTGGGTTTGAGTTTGCAGATGGAAGCTTATCTTCAGAATTTAATGAACAATAATAGCATTCTAACTCTGAGTATCTTTAATGAGTAGCTGTAAAAGTTCTTAACCTTTTCAAGATGGCTGTTCACCAAGTTTAAAGGTTAATAAAATAATTCAAATGATGAAACTCCCTCATACATGGGGAAGACCCTGTGTTGTGTTCCTGCATATGGAATTTGGAAATAAGTCTGTCTACGTTGCCTCAGGTCTAGCAATCTGAGAATGTTATTGTTTTGGGAACTTCAGTGTACTTATCTAAGCATATTCTGTGACTAGGGTTTTGAGGAAAATACAATGAACCTGTTGGAGCTGTAACTGAATGGTTTTGCTATCTGGGCTCACTTTTGTGTGTTATTGCCTAACCCCCACAAAGAAAAGATTGTGAGGGAGAAAACCTTCCAAAAAAGTGGAGAATGATTTACTGATCTAGTGTGTAGCCCAAGGAAAAAAATAGGAGATGTTCTTGTTGAGGACACCTTGGAGAACAAAGTCATTGACTCGAGTGCTGTAAAAACACTTTTCTGTGCTTTAATTAAGATCTTAAGGAACAACTTTATTTCTCTGAATCTACTTGATTCAGACCATTCATAGAAGAACTGAAAGAAATAAAGCCACTTTTGAAAGAAGGTGTCTTCTTCCTCTAAGGAGAAAAATGAGAAGGAAATGGGGGAAAACATACAGGTATCAGAATATTTTTTTCAGTTCTCTAAACTTACTGCTACGCTGCCTGAACTCTTCCTGTTTAAAATAAACTTTCATATTTTGACTATATCAGGGACTAAATCATCTAGCTTTTCAAGATGTTTGCTTATTTTAATCTAGCTCTTGAAACCAGAGAAATCTGAGTGTACAAACCCAGCCTAACTGCTGATATGATTTGTCTACAAAAATCTTTATTTACTCCTGGTAGACTTAGTTTAGTGTTTCATATGACAGCTTGGTTTAGCCAAGAAATTCTGTTCTTTTGTACATCAGGCAGTTCCATATTAGTGTGCAAAGGCTTCAAAAAAGCCTGCTATTGCTGATTTTAAAAACAATAGCAGTATCTGATTTAAGTAGAGATAATATTTTTTAAGGACCATGATAATTATCTGTGCTTGTGACTAGCTGGCTAAATAACCACAGCTGTTGAACTACTTCTTGATTTCAAATTCTTGAATAGGGTATGCATTGCAAAGGAAGATTGTGGGGCAAATGACTTGCCTAGTGCAGCTAAAGGGGCATGGAAGCTCTTCTAGAACCTTCTATAGAAGAGGCCTTTATCTGGCATTTGTGATGTTGTTGTAGTTATCTTATTTTAATCACTTGTAGATAGATAGTGTTTTAGAATAATACACTTTAAGTACCATTTACCTAGATTTTCTTGAAACTCAAGTGTTTTTTGTACTTATTTATAAGCATCTTAATTTTTTCTAGTCCATTCTCAAGTCTTCATGTGACTTCGAAATTAAATTTTTAGATGACTTAAACCTTTGAGTCAAAATACTTTGTAGAGTTAGTGATTTCTATAACTTGAACCTTGAAATTTGCTTTGAAATACTCAATACTGATGAGTGAGAGGACTTTCAGACAGAAACAAGAAAAAATATACCTGATTTTTAGGCTTGGTTTCTTGAGTTTTACATCATGTCCTCCAAGTGATTTTTTTCATTGAGTGTTTGAGTAGCACTAGAAAAGGGAGCTGTCACTTGAGAAAGGGGAGATGTTCCTTGTAGGCAGTGCACAGTTTGCCTTCTGTTGGAAGGTGAGCACACAGATGTGGTGGCCAAGGGAAACAAACTCTTAATTTCCCTTAATTAAACCCAAATGCATGTGTATAGTTAAGGTTTTCTATATAGTATAGTAAGTACTGGTTGTACCTTCTGATAAATGCTGTGTTCACTTTGTGTAACAGTTGATCTTAATGACACTTTTGACTTATAGGTAGACTTTAATGCTTGATTCTGAGCTTTAGTGTATCCACCAGGTGAAGTGGTGGTTCTTATCTTAGATGGTCAACTTTTTAAATACTTGACATAAACCCTGTTTAACAGGGTAAAGATTTTGTTAGCACGTCTCTCAAGTATTTACCAGAAAGTTACTACTTGAAGTGTATTGAACCTCTGAGGTGGCCCAAGATCATTAGTCCATTATTGAAACTTAGACAAGTCTTCACTTTTATTGACTGCAAGCACTTTCAGTGAAATTCTAATAAATCTTTACTTCTAGATTGTGTGGGGCGTATTCTTCATCATCGTGGCACTGCTCTTCACTGTGTCTCTGTTCTTGTCAAAGTAAGTACATTTTGGCATTTTTCTTAACCACTTAAACTATATAGTCTGTGCTCTAACATCAAAATCAGGGGTGGCTTGCTTCAAGAGTCAGCCCACTTCTTTTCTCTGCTACATTTCTGTAACTAGAGCTGCATTCCTCATTATAATAGTATGTATTGAAACTGAGCAAAATGTGCTAAAAAGACTCAAAAAAGGATGTGGTTCAGCTTGATTGACTGTATGCTGCTGAAAACAGTTCTGATTCATAAGAGATAAAGCGTGTATGTTAAGGAAGTTTAACTCGGACTACAGAAGTATTCTGATTGCTTGAGTGAATTATAATGCATGTAGGTACTCTTGAGCTAGGTAACAGGTGCTTAAATTCTTGCAGTAAACGACATATATAATCTATTATGTGCATTACATTGTAGTTGTTTCATGGTGTGGGAAGCAATATTGCCAGCTGTAAATCTGGTGGATTTCACTGAAGACTGAGGCTAACCAGAGGTCTCAAATGTTGGCATTTTTAATACTTCAGACTGGGCAAATAAGCTGTATGACCCAAACTAGGGGAAAGCTAAAATGCAAAGGAGATGTAGAAATTAATATACCTCTTCACAGGACCAAGTGCAATGAGTGTGGTAAAACAAAGTATGTGTCTGTATGGTTATGAAAAAGCAGTCAGTCTTTGGGCTTAGTTCAGCACTTTTTGAGCTTTTTTTTTAAATTCAACTGAAGACAAAGCTCTGGAAGAACCGTAGTACTAACCCAGTTTTTTTATTATGGTAGTTTGGACAAAGCTCTGCATTCGGCTGGCTTCGACTCAGGGTTTATAATTTTAGGAACTAATCTGACCAACCCGTTGAATATGCTGTTACCTGTTCTTCAAACAGTAAGTAAAAAATTGGTGATATATGTACATAAAGTTGCTCCTTTTTTTTCTGGTAAGCTGTCAAAAGGCAAACTATACTTCTCCAAGTAATTCATTAAAACAAAATTGTCTAGATAGGTGTTCTGTAAAAGCTATGCAACTTCTTTGTTAACAACCTTTTATTTATTAAATAATGATATGAGGATCTTGGGTGGATGGAAGCCAGTTTCTAGGGGAAGGTGGTGCTTGAAACTGATTTTCGTCTGAGAAGAGGGTAGCAATGAAGAATGGCATCACTTGTAGTTTTGTGCAGAATCAAAGCAACTTTCTCCCATGTCCTACCTAGAGTCTAGTTGGTTGTATAACTGATAGCTTATCCCCCTTAAGTGAAGTAAATGCACTTTTTCGCAATATATTTATTGAGCCTTGAAAGATATATTACATGCTGTGCAGTTATAGATGTTACAGTAATGCATCAGTCCTTGAAACAAACCCTACCTAAGATCCAACATCTGTTAACTTCAGTAGGGTTGGAAGGCAACAAGGCCACATACAAATTTGGCAATCAGTCATGGGTAGCTAAGAAAAAGTAAAGCCTTAATGTGAGCTGTTTCTTTACTCTTCTCTAGTTGACTTCTCTTCATATTATTGGTATAAGGGGTTGGCACAATGCATTGCTTCCCTGTGGTTTCTAAAACTGTTGAACACCTAAGCTTGCAGTTTACGGAGAAAAGTGGTGTTTAGCAGCAGTATTATCTCAAGCTGTTATTAATGTAAATAAAATCAAGTTTTGTATGGAAATATGTTCAGAAATATTAGCTTATCAAATGCCTATACAGTCCTAAAATGATTGTTGCCACTGCAGACTTGTTAAATGCCCTCTCGGAACAGAATTAAGTATTTCTTAGCTTAAAAATCTATAACACTTCAAAATTGAGGCAAGTTTTAAATTAAGAAAAATGCTCAGCTGCTTTGCCAAACTAATTGTATAAGCTGTATTAGCAGCAAGCTATATTAGCTGTGTTTGGAGCCAGTGATGTAAAACTTTTAAATGGAAGGACTCTTACTACCTCAGATACTCTAAGTAGAAACTACTTATTTAGCTTTCAGGGGGAAGAACTTGTTTTCTAGTTTGAATGTTTTGTTGTATTTTAACTGCTTGTGTTTTCTTGTTTTAGGTTTTTCCACTTGATTATATTCTTATTACAACTATTGTTATGTACTTTATCTTCACTTCAATGGCAGGGATTCGAAATATGGGTATATGGTTCTTCTGGATAAGGGTAAATATGATTTAAGAGTTTATAATAATCAGTGAGATGTTTAACAAATGTGATATTGAATATATTTAATAGTCATTATTTATGTACTGCTTTGTAAATACTGTATATTGCCCATAGCATTGTCTATATTTCTAATGAGTTGTACAATATTCACTGCTTTTGAGAAGTGTTCTGTTTTGCTAAGTTATCACACCAAAACTGATGTTTTAATTTGGTAAGCAATACAGCCAGATGAATCTTTGAAGTGTTTAATCGGTGGCACTTTGGCTTCTGATTTCTCTAAGTTAGAGCCATATGATTCTGACATACTGGAAGTATTAGTGACTTATGGTGGAAATCTGAAATGTGCATGCAGACAGTAGTGCTTGGCTTGCTTTTTAGGTGGCAAGCAAGTTTGGCTTGGTGAGAGGTAAGAGCACAGTGATGATATGGCATATCTAAATATGATGCAAATAATATATTACTGTATTTGAAAAAGCAGCTTTGTATCCAGTAGTATGCCATTCATGCCTGTGATGCTGGGTTAAATATTTTCTTCTGTGCCTACTTCCTGTTTAAAACTGTCAAGCTTTTGTGGGGTGACACCCCCAAATTGTGAACAGCGACCCTGAGTCGCTGCAGTGAGTTGAGATTGGCTGTTGGTTTTGGTCTTCCAAAACCTCAGCTGCTGGCTGCTTTACCCTAATATGGTACTCAGGGTAGGCCTTTGGGGATTACAGAATAGAGTGGTATCTACAGGGTGACAACGAGGGACTTTGTTCCCTGCAGTGTAAAGTGGAAAAGATGCCACCATATGGTGTGCAAGTTTTCTCGGAGCCTGGGAATACTCTTGTAACTCCCTCCTCTGTTTCTAGATGAGAGGTGTAGTGATAGATGACTTCTCACCTTGACTGAGGGACACGATATTCTTTGAACCAAGGCACAGTTTTTTATCAGTGATAGGCAACAGCATTTAAATCTTGCTACTAACTGCTGGTTTATAAATGTTCTGGGTCATTAATGCAAAAAACAATTAATTTTGTTATATAGCTGTGCTTTGAATTTCAGGTAAATACACCTGAAAACCTGCTTTGACTTACTGGAATTAAGTTGCAAGAGGAGAATTTTAGCAGCCTCCCACTTCTGTCAGTAGAATTGAAGTTGTTACTTGAATTAACAAGGATTTTAATTGTCTTCAGGAAAATAAGATGTTTTTTCATTATGTTAATATTTGTGTGTTTTCTGGTTTTAGCTTTATAAAATCAGACGAGGGAAGACTCGACCTCAAGCACTCTTGTTTCTCTGTATGATACTTCTGTTGATAGTTCTTCATACAAGCTACATGATCTACAGTCTTGCCCCTCAGTATGTAATGTATGGAAGCCAAAAGTACCTGGTACAGGTGAGATAATACTTGTTAAAAAAATCTTTCTATATCAGAAATGAACTGTTTACAGTGACTTTTAAAGTCAAGCCCACTTTCAGTTTTGAAGACTTTTGTAGGATTTTTTAACTACTAGTAGGTCTCTTGATAATACATTAGCCAGAAACTGGTTCAGTATGTATAACACAACTTAATTCCTGGATCATCTTCAGACGATGTAAAACTTCTGAGTATTGCTTTACTTGTTTTGATATGACAGCTGCTAGCTTCTACTAGGTTTTGTACTGGTATGCTAAGGTTGCTGAATGACTGCAGTGAGGATTAGTTTTAGTGTGTAAGACTGTCTATAGACTGAAAGCAATGTCGTTCTGTAGTTCATAGTTTTTTATCTGCATATTTGTGAGAAATTACAAACATAACGGTGCAGTAGAAGATAATCAGAATAAAGCTGAGGATGTGCTGATTAATCACACCTTAGACTGTCCAACTTCATGAAACTTGTTGCAGTTCTTGCTCTATGAAATCTTCTACAGAATTAAGTAGTTAACATCAGTCTGTGCTTTTTTTGTTGCACTGTTGTGTACTTCAAGTTTAGGTTGTTGGGTTTAAGTCTTTCATCTTCTGTACCTGAAAGCTTTAATTCTTGTATTTCATCTGAGTGGAGGTCTGCATATTTATGGGGAAGTTCAGTTACACATCATAAGCATTTTGAGAGGTTTTATGGACAGCTGTTTACCATGATGTGGTATCCTACAGGGGTAGGCTTTGTTAGATCTGATCTTGCAAATGTAGACAACTAACTAGTGATGAACTTGTTGTTCATATTCAGGCATAACAAAGTCTGGATCTCTTGGCGTGCTGTTTGGGGTTTAAGTATAAGTTTCACAAAGACAAAAATTGACCTGAAGTGGTTGGAAGAAGGGGTTTAGATCAGACTGAAATAACTGGGTGCTGCTTTGGGCATTTGGAACACTTGTGTTAGTTTTCCAGAAGGGTGTGCCTCTGGGAGGAGAGCACATGGCTTTAAAAAAGTCACCCACCAACCTTCTTTTTAGTAAATAATTTCCCTATCAATTCTTTCAGTTTAAACAGAATAGATGCAGAGTACTTTTGCTCAAAAGGATTATAAGGAGAAATTGACATTGAAGTAGTTTTAGTAGAGAAGAGGAACCTGATCAACTTAAATGTGCTGAGTGGATATGGTAGAACTGTCACTGCAGAAAGTGAGGTGTTCAATAAATGCTACTTTTCTGCTGCCTTTACGTCTAAATTGTCTGGTAATAGTAGGTTGGTCATCCTGATATCAATCCAAGCACAATGATAGAATCACTGTAGAGGACTTGCATATTTGGCATTTAGGAAGTTTAATGCGCTTTCATTAGATACTATGCTGGATAAAACTAATACAAAATAAGCATGCTTAGGCATCTGTAAATTGTCTCAACTTACAAGAATTAGGGTATTAACGGCAAGAAACTAATCTAAAAATCAGTTTAGAAAAGCAATTTGCTTCTATGGTGTGTTTACGTTGAACTCCTGCATGATTGATGACTGTATATGTAGCCTAGAACATCTTATAGCTATATATGAATTAGTTATGAGCTCAAGTCCCTGCAAGAAGCAGTTTGTTTGGTTGGTTTTTTTGTTGTAGACTGATTGTGTGTCTAATTACAGTGCAGAACCATTGTGGGTGGATGAGTGGGAAGGACAATTTCATTAAGGATCCTACGAAGCTAGGCTTTAAGCCATTCAGTGACCTGAGAAAAGAATCCTTTATGACAAAGCCTGCAGATAACATGGAAGATTGAAGAGAAAAGCAAATAATAAAGACAGTAGCTAGCAGTTTAGTTTGCTTTATGAATAAAATGGCAGTGTTTCAGTAAAATAAAACACTTACATGGGGGCAGTGGGTGGATGGGAAGATTGGGACTTAACAAATGTTTGCATGCTAGCTGTTTATGACAAATATTATCTGAACATAGATAGAGTTTATAATGAAAAGGGTCAAGAGAATGGAGCACAGAGTCAGGGAGGCACGTATGCATTCAAACAGCTATTGAAGTACAGTCCTAGTCAGCACTGCAAGAAGGATTAGCTGGGATGGTTGAGAAGAGCTACAACTTTTCATTTAAGGATTAAAAAAATGTTGTGGTCAAGATAGCCATCCTGGGTCTCTAGCTTGTTATGTACCGTTTCGAAGAGCTAAAGTGCATGAAGTAACTTGGGTAGAAACACTGGTTTTAATGTTATGATAACATGAAGCATAAAGACTATGCTGTAAATGACAACGGGACTTCTCTGGCATGCCAAGTAAATATAAAGTTTTTGGACAACATCCTCAAAATGTCTTTCAGAATATGCCAGATGCATTTTCTGACTACCCTGATAACTGGACATCATTTTTTTGTTTTGAAATGGGGAGAGATGGTGGCTGGGAATAAGGAGGAGCAACAGATTTTTCTGTGCATGTTAGCAATGAAGAGGAACTTGAGGGTTATGAGTTGGTTAACACAGGAACTGGACAGATGAAATAAGTTTCATGCATATGGCAGGCTTCCTGATGATGGAAGCTGTATGCACTAGTTTGCTTGGACAGTGGAGACTTTCATTGCTTGCACACCACAGTCAATTTCATCATTTAAAGTGACACCACTGGTAACCGATGCTGTACATAACCAAGCAATAAATAGGCAATATTCCAAGTCGGCTTTGTGGATGAGTGCACTCATAAACATGTATGTCAGAACCTGGTGGCTCACAGGAAGATAGTGTGTAAAAGCACTTCCCCCTTTTCTTTGCTCGACAGTAGTTCCCAGTCTAGTAACCTGTCAAACTAATTTGTAACCGAAGTCTACAGTGATGCCTTAGACCTGTTATAATCCTGTTTGAATCTTGAACTGTTTCCTTTGGAGACTGTTACACTTGACAAGACCTTTTAACTTTGAAGTGCTGTCAGCTTTTCCTGATAATTGAATATGTGTAGAAAAATGGAGCTCTTGTGAGGCAATTACTGTTAGCTAGACCTGGGCTACTTGCTTTATTTAACTCTTTGACCATAGTGGTGTTCAAAGCCTGTGTCCCCGATTAATTGGAAGTGTCTTCAACTGTGATGTCTGTAGGAAACTTTTCTTTTGGATACAGTGCCCTTATCAACTGAGGCCCTGTGTAGGGCTTTGATCAGCTTGCATAGCTCTTCAAACACTGAAGAACACTTGATTTCATCTCTTAAGAAAACCTTTGTAACATCTCCTAAGCAGGCACGAGTCTCTTCATTGCCTTTCACAAAGGTAACGAGTTCTGTCCTCATCCAGGCCTTCTTAGTTTTGTAGCAAAAACACAACTCTGCCCATGCTTGAAGTGTAATTGCCACTTCTGTTCAACAAGGCCAAGTTTCCTTTCTTCTGAAAGAAAGACCACTGCTTGCCAATGTTTCTGCCTAGTGGACCTGAAAGACTTGACTGGCCTAGACAGGAATTAGAAGGCCAGAATTTGCCACAGGTGACACTGATACTTTTCCTCAGTTGAGAGCCAGAGCAGCAGCAGTCACTTTTTCCTTCCTCAGCCTTCATGTAGATAATTCAGAGGAGTGGAACTAAGCTGCAGGACACTGAATGTCTCCATTGTCATCAGCAGGGATCCAGAAGTATCCCTTAGATGGCCAAGTGTGCAAACAGATCTTTTCAAGTTCTTAATCCTGAACATAAGCAGGAACAAATTATATAAGTGTAACAGGCTGTAACCTAGCCCTTTATATGATAGCTTCCTACTTTAAGTGTCCAAAATGTGTCAGCTCTTGAAGCACACACACTGAATTATTGTCCTTGGTTTTGTCTCCCACTTGTTCTTGAGGCATCCTGCTTTCAGTTTGGGGCTGGATGTGATAACTGGAACACCATAGAGTTTTACTCTGACAGTACTCATACTAAAAATGTTTGAGACTTGAGTGCTCTACTGCATAGTGCCAGGTAAATTATTTTGAGGAATTGTTCTGTCGACACATCTCTGCTGTCACTTATGCATCTTTCTTATGTCCAGTCATTTTCTCCTTGCCCTGTGGGGCAAAAGGGGCTCTACCTCAAGTGTATGTATGCTAGTATGAAAGTGCTGAGATGACAGCATTAAGGGTAAAGCTCTTGTACCTTTTCTGGGAAATCAGCATAAGCTGAGTGCCTCTGAAAGAACCTGAATACTAATGCTTGCAGCTGAGGAAACAAAGGAGGAGTTAGCAGTTTGCATGCAGTTGCAGGTCTACAATCTCACTGAGATCAGAGATACAGTGAAGTAGCTCACACAACTGGAGTGCTGCTGTGTCTAGGTGTGGACTCTGAGCAACAGGCTGGGGTGGCCAATAGGGAGAATTGGCCTGTGTGTGAGAGCAATGGGCATGTGTAGAGTTTTGCTTTGGGATGCCTAAACAGCTAAGTGTTTATAGGTTATGATTAGAGGGCAGATTAGCATGGGTGATAAGGTGTGCTACAAGGCTGTGTGATCAGGAGGAAGTACCTGATGATCCCTTAAGACACCTGTAAGTAACTTCATGTTCACAGGAGGCTTGAACCACAGTTACCTGCTGGGAAAGCAACACAGTTGAGCACAAGGAAGCCAGAAGGCTTCTGGAGTGCACTGATGACAACTTCCTGACACAGGCAATTGACGAGCTGAAATAGGGAGATGCTATCTTAGACCTAGTGCTGAAGAATTGATCAAGCGCAGTCTTGGCTGTAGTGAGCATGAGATGGTGAAAGTTCAGAGTCATAAGAGAAGATGACAGGGCAGATAGTGGGATCACAACCCTGGACTAAGGAGAGCAGATTTTGGCCTGTTCAGGGACCTACTTGGAAGAGTTCTAGCATGTAGAAGCCTATTCTGTGTTGGCAAAGGTGTGAGTTTTCTTTAATTTCTTTCACTGGTTGAAGTGGTACTGGACTCTTGCTGAGTCTTACTATAATCATTGTTAGTTTTTAGTTAATCCTTTAATAGCTTCCAACTTACTACTTTTCTGCATGTTAGCTCTGTGTAAGACTACTTTTGTTTAATACTTGTGTAGTTTGCTTTGTGTAGTACTATATAATAAAGAAATTTGAATGTTAGAAATTCAGGCTATGTAAAATTGAAAATGGTGTTCAGATGAGAGTTAATGAGTTAAGCATTCCACTTAGCATGGCAAATGTGGTTCTTAATTTTTATTAGAACTTTATTATTACTGTGAAATACTTAATTTTTATATGTGTTTTGGAATATATGTTTCATCTTTTTCATGTCTGTTTTGTGAAAAGGTAGCAAACTTTCAGTGAACCTTTTCAAGGTTTTGCTTGTGTAGGACAGAAGAAAGC